AAATCGAATTTTCGCCTTTCTCTTGCACCCAAAGTGTGTTGATTTTCCTCAGTGGAATGTCGTTAGAATAATTCAAGAGTACAGCAGAACGTAACATGAAAGAAAGAATAAAAATCCTTTTCAAGAAGTCATGAAAGCCAGTCAGAAAGAATAAGGTGAGGTTTAAACGCTTGTCGTGAGGATAATGTGCCCACAGACATTTTAGTTTGGCTGTCACAACGGTATTGATGCTTTCTCGATGTACATGAAAAGCAAATTGTAAGGAAAGTGTGCCTCCCCCGTAATTGCCGTTAAGGTACCACCCTACCCTTTCGCACTTTTCTGTATCATTATATATTTTGGATTTTCCCGGATTTCATACGCATCCGTCTCAAGTGCAAAAAAAAATATACTTAAGTATAAAATATCTAGTCTTTCAATACATTTTTACAAAATTACACCTAAAATCACTTTTTTTTTCACTTGTACCGTAATATACTATTACGAAACATATGATAACAATTTTTTAATAGGACGGAGATTGTTAATATACCTGATTATCTTCACCTAGATTCTAGGTCCTAGAATGATCACTTCGAAGCCTTCAACAATTTTCCAACAATCACCCTAATGCAATTTTAATTTTGCCACACGTACATGGAAGTAACTTCAGGTGCTGAGTCGATTATATTCTTCATCTTTGAAGTCACGCCCATTGACTATAGTCAGGTAGCACGTACGTGTTTCAACACAGAATTCTCAAGACTATACATCAAAGGATTTCATTTGAAAGTCCGAGAGCGAGAGAGAGAGAGAGAGAGAGACAGCGGAGGAAAATGTTAACGAGAATATAATGTTTTTTGCACGCCTGCATAACAAACAATTGGAGGAGGGCTTGTATTTGTGTCGCTGTAGGAATGACTTTATCGTCATCATAAACCACTCAATGATAGTTGCGGCTTCCAAGATACTGGCACATGCGTAATGAAGGGTCTCTGAAATTGTTGGCTAAAACTCTTGGCTAAAGCAATACAGGGGATACAATCTATGACCAATGGCCAGCTGATTATTTCAATGAGAATCTGGTGGGTGTGTGTTAGACGCACTACTTATCTCGATCGCGATAAATTAACTCCATTCTACTACTTGTTGCATAAATGTAAAGGTGTATTTTCATTCACACCAAATTCACGTTTGGCATTTTATCACGTGGTCAACACACAGTCCAATATTTCCCAATTTTAGGCGCAAAATCATCAAGATTGAATGAAAAATGAAGTGACGAGAACATTTAATGAGATAGACAATTGCCATTGAATCGTTGACTAATTACAATTCACTAGCGTTTACAATATATAAGGGGGTCTGGTTATTTGGCCCGGGGATTTCCTTGAAATTTTCAGCGCGAGTTTACCTGATGGAATGGTTGAGCTCGTGAATGAAGGAAAAAAGAAATTCACTCCAGCTTGTTAATATTAATTTCAACCGATGAGGTTTAACCCGTTGTTTAACGTGTTAAGAATCCGCGCAGAAATCATCTCGATTGCAGCGTTGTCTTCCTTTTTTCAGATACGAGTTAATTAATAAATCAATTCCTCATTGAAAGCCTCAAAGAATAAGTTGAATTTCAACAATTGTTTTTAAAAAGTAAGTGATTTGAGAATTATAAAAATATTCAAACATAAAATGAACGATATCCATGTATATATCCATGTGGTTATTAAAACATTTGGAATGTAACGTTTAATTTGTCTCAGAGTGAAGAAAATTCATGGAGAAAATGACAAAGGAGTGGTCAAAATGCAAGACGTGAAAGTCAACGGTGGTGACCGCCCACTCGGCGTCCATTCACGTTTCCCCCCTCATGTTGTTACCGCCACAACGATCGCACGCGTCGGCAGTAGAATATCTCCTTTTATTCTTCAGCATCCTCCGTTGATCTGGCAAGTGGAAGGCGAGCCGAGGAGGATAAATGAAACAGGAATGAAAAAAAAATATGAGAAGAAATGGTGAACTGGTCGTTCTCAGTGTATTGCCTTTTCGGGCAAAACACCAGCCTCGGACTGGATCCCAACCACCGCTATAATACCATTACCCAAACGCGTACGTGTGGATGAGTTTAAACAAACCGATCCTTTTCACTTGTGCCAAAAGAGAAGTTTCAGCTGGAGTGAAAAAAAAAAAAAAGTACTCGAGAGCAGTTAAAATATCTTATGGCATATGTATGATATTCATATGCACAGAGTAGATTGAATTATTCACTTGAAGTGATGGGGGCCATTTTATGTGCGTTCACTGAACAATTTCCCGGAATGTTCACCGCAATACCGCAAAGAGTCATTGAAGCGTTTTAAAAACAGCAATATGTATATATTAAACTATATATATATGCTCAACTATCAGCTCTAGCTTTCCTCTCTATCTCAGCGTTATCGTTATATTGGCGAGAATATTGGAGAGAATCTATTGAAATTGCCGAAAAACTCGAGCGCTAGACGTGTAGAATTACATATTGGTAGAGGAACGCGTGGTTGGGTGAAGTAACCGAAGAGGTGTAGAGGTGTTTGGTTGGATTGTTGAGAGAGTATAGGAGTTGAGGCAGAGTTGGGGCTCCCTTATGCGAGATCGGCGAGTTAGCCGTTCACAAGGAAGGAATGCGGCCGCCACCGCAGGAGGGAAACATGTGGTGGCAAGGAGAGGAAGCAGGACGGAGCCACGACGGAGGCAGGGTCACAGAGGAGGACGAGGACGAGGACGCGGACGCAAGTTTTTAAGTAAAAAAGACAAGAGTTAACGGTAGCGAATATGTCAAGAAATACGTCGAGTTTGAGAGGGATATTTGTGGTGATGAAGGCAGACCATTTGAATCTGTTAAATTATTTATCACCTGGAATTTTCACTGTGACGTCCATAGGAATTGTTGATATACTTGAAGGCATTCAAGTGGAATTTCAAGGACTCTGTGCTTTTGAGACAGTTGAAGATGACAAGTCAGCAACATTTCGAAAGAACAGCTCGAGAGAATACTCGGCCATTGGACGACGCATGTGTTCTATTCACGCCAGTGGGTCACCGAGAAAACTCGTTGGACGAGGTTGAAATAGAGCCTCCAATGCAACGCTGTGTAAATTCCTTACGAATAAGAAATCCATAATAATTAATTGGAATTTGAGAGAGTATATATACTTCTGCACAGCCTTCAGAGTGACGCCACTTCCTTCAATTAAAATCACATCAAAATAGTAGGAGGCTATTGGTGACGGGGAGGGAGTGAATTGGGTTGAATTTTGGGGTCGTTTAAAATACCCTCGTTTTTGGGGCGAAGGAATAAAACCCATCGGTGCATAAATTTTTGGGATTTATGCCAGGCAAGTTGTTAATATGACGTGATGACGTGCATGAGCTATTTATTTTTGTTTAAAATATGACAAAACTCTCGGTTGGCCCTGCTATTCGACTAAAGTCTTTCCGGTTTGTTAAACACTAAATCATTGAAAAAATTGAGAGCCAAAAACTTTACATCTTCCTCCTATTTTCTTGAGTCAAGGAATAAATAATCTATCACTGCTTTTTCTGTACACCGATGGAATTCCCTTTCACAATTACTTATTTCTAATTTGTCATGTGCAAAGACAAATCCAAGTATAAGACATAAATTGCGGACGGGCTGCGTGGAAATGTATTAAAGCGAAATGATATCTCGGTATTCTACGGGGAATGCGAATCGATCTTTCTCCCCATGGCTCGGCATAATAAATATGGTGCGAGACATTGGGCTCCTCGGAGTGGTGCCCTCAGGGAGTGAAGCTCGAACGAGGAGGAGGAGGAGGAAGAGGAGGAGGAGGAGGAGGAGGAGGAGGAGGAGGCGGCGGTGGCGGCGACGGTGGCGGAGGGGAGAAGGAAAAATACATACGACTGGAATTGCAAATCGACTTTAATTAAGCACTCGAGATTCCAGTGGTGGCGGCACTTGGGGCTTGGCGTCATTTTTATCGCAACGAATCTCTTTGAGACGAAAGGCAACGACGTTGACAAGGTCACGCAAAATGCCATAAAATGGCTCTTCATTGTTCCACCACCATTACTTGCCATAAAATCCGATTTTTTTTTTCCACTGCAGCAATCGGGTAAGGCACGGGAAAATAAAAGGAGAAATCGAGTTGACAAACCTGAACTTGCTGACCTTTTTTCTCTCCATTCCCGATAAAATCCCGTTTGGGCTGATAAAACAACGGAATCAGTTACGAATGCAAAATTGAAGTTTTATAAATTTCATTGATAGTTAATTCTTTATGCTTAACCCGTTGGAAAAATAGTGATAACGTCTGGTAGCACCTGGTCCCCCATCTCGACGTTCTCCAAGACCAATATATTTGCTCGACAAACATCCCACTAGTCCTCAACAACTGTTGCGCTTCAATTCATACCATATAAACTCATTTGCCCGATCGACAACCAATCACATTTCAAAATACGCCAAGTTTTCACCGAAAGAGCAAAACCTTCTAAATACCACAAATCATTTATTCAATCCTGCCAAAATAGGACTCGTACACGTGACAAATACGAAACCAAGGTTTTCTCCGGAGGTTGAAAACAAGTTGAGCGTATTTTTTCTCTCTCTCATCTCCTCCCCCCCCCCCCCCCCCCCCCCCCCCCCCCCCTCTCGCTCGCGCTCTCTCTTTCTCTCCCAAGTAAACAATTCCCACCGGCCTTGCACCGCTCACCAGCAGCTCTTTAAAATCCAAACCCCCGTACGCCTACCAAATACAAAAGCCCACGTGACACGCAATGATTCAGAATTTCAAGTGGCCTTAAGTACAAGTCTCCTCATTCCACACGATTCTCCTCAACAACAAGAAGGCGTAACCGCGTGACACGTTCCACCCACTCTCACATTTATCCTCAAAATACCGATACTCCAAATGAACAATGTAAACAAACGTTTTCACGCGGAGAAAAAAAAAGCCTTCCTCAAATAATTCCCGCGGCCCCACCATAAAATTAGTTTAGGAACTCACCTTCATCCAGCAGTCTCTCCACATGTATGAAGACATTGGGAAAAGCGGCGAGCTGCTTCCTGTCTTTCAGCAATTGTGACAGATAGTCCGCTATACTCTGAGTGGTGGTATTGGTATTATCACACATATTTGTAACAGAATGATACTCAGAACCGCAGAAAAAACTCCTCTGAGGGATTATTTAAGAAAAAACCGTGTTTCCAATAGTGGTCAATTGCTCTAACGTGACTCGAGAATGGTAATACGCCCGTCCCAAGAAGAAAAATAATACACTTAGCCCGCTGGGTGTTGCAAATACCACTCGTCCAGCGCGGAGTATGTGATAGTTGTCTGTACGTGCGATCTATCCTTCCTGCGATTCGCAAAGGCGAAGCCGAAATCGTTGGATATGGAGAGTCGAGCGACAGAGACGAAGGGCCAATTTGTCCCTCTGTCGCACTTGGTGAGTTTTTCTTAATGGATATTCACTTGTGATTATTAACCATAGGCAGTGTTGACGGACTGGAGTTTTGGAAACTTTTAAATTGTCGATTAAAACTGAAAATTACTTGGGTATTTTTCACGCACGCGCACCACTGTACAATCGTATCACAACTGCGCGACTTCTCGTGTGCTCGATCGTGCCGACCTGCCTTCCTCTTCCAACAAAACTTGTGCCCTACCAGTCCCACCGTCCACCCCTCCCTCACACTACACCGCCAGTTCCATGAATTTCGATGCCAGTGCGCATGCTCCCTACCACTGCGCACAAGAGCGCTTGCACACACATACACGCACACACAGATTATTCGCTGCGGCGGCTTCCCGCCCACCACCATATACGGCCTCACAGTGTTCGAACGGCTCTTGTGTACTAACCAAAGGGGCAAAGCGGGGCCTGGGGATCACTCAAGTGATATGTTAGTGTGAGCAAGTTGAGTGGGTGTAAGTCACTGAGAGTCACCAGAGAAATAATTTCATTACATCCCCCCAACCTGTGTATTCTTCCAATACCAAATTCTCCTTTTTTTTATTTCTTCATTATCAGTAAAAATCATTGTTTAAATATTTATCATTTTAATCGAGAAACGACAATTCATTTTCACCTCCCCAAAAGAGATTCTCCATTAATTCCAAGTGTCAATATATTGTTGATCAGTTTAAAAGTTTCCGAAACTTGAGTAAAACAGAAAATGAGTTTTATTAGCAGTAGGTGAATTGTCATGTAATGTAATATTGCAAAACTCTTTTCTACATGCAATTTGTTAATTGCCTGAATCCGAGCAGTTGGTGCACCGTTGGAGGACATATCCTGATGAAAAGAAGGCAAAATGATCTCTTCATGCTGTTGATGATCATTAATATCCTCCTCGAAACATGTTGCAACATGCATCAGCAATACAGTTCACTTCGTTGATGCGTAACGGTTGGCCGGTACTATGCTCGTTAGAAAACGAATGCAATGATGCTGGGTATTATAACACTTGAGGAAGCAAACAACCGCCCCCAGGTAACCCAAATATCTTTACCATCCTTTTAAAACTGACACCAGTCTCCCTCCATCAAACGGTCCACCTGTGCATTATGCTAAAGAAAACTCGGGCTTGGCTTCCGTAATTGAGGAGAATACTTGCGTTACGCTTACAAGCGCATCTTGTATTGATAATGCGAGAGGACATTTTTGTGTAATTATGACTTTGTGACCACGATGGGCGTGAAAACACTTTCTTGCATTTTCAATATTCATTTTTTAAATTACCATGATTATCAAAAATTTCAAATGCTTGCACCAGCCAACCAACGATATCTCAATTTTCATTAACACGGGAGGAATGAATATAGAGGGGTATATGTATAGGATTTTAATAGAGGAGATGAAGACAGAGTTTCGAAGCGGAAGTCACGGCGACAACGCCCTGTTAACAAATTCTTATGAAAATTCGATTTCCTTGCACTCGACTACAGCATATCGCCGCAATACCCGGTGATACGTTTACGTTTATCATGTATTATTCATAAAGTGACGACCCACTCATATAATCCTGCTGCGCCACTCATCGAGTCATGCTCCAAGTGGAGGGTGCACATGCCCAGGACGAATGGGAATAAAAAATTAGCATATGAGCAATATCACGCGGTGAATTTATCCATTTTTCATCGCGCATACTCGATAGCAAATTGCTTTGAGCTAAAAATGCTACTTGTGGTGTAAAATTACCATAGAAAATTACGCCTTTCGAGAAGGATACGGTAATTTTCTTGATTCCATCGCTTAATAGCAGCCAAGCCTTCAGCTCATTTCAGTATCACACTTAAAATTTGAAAATAAATTTTCCAAGGCAGTAACACAATTGAATATATATAATATATTCAGTAGGTGCAACATGGATATCCTTAAATAACATGAAGATAAGAACACCACTGTACTTGAATTGGAGTTACTGGTAGCGTCATGAAGACTAACGAGAGTTGAATAAAACTAGTTCAAGCCCCTGTGATTTTACCTTTTTCGAATGTGTATACCTTTCGAGGGTGGGGAGAGATAGCTTAAACGAGACGTGGGTGGGTTTTCATTCTCGTTTCTATGGTTTTTATTTCGTCATATTGTTGTATCTTTGGGGCCGGACAACCTGCGCTCTTTCGATTCCTCCAAAATCCTGTGGAAAGTAGGTATGATACGGTTTTTCTGATCAACGTGGACTCGATATTGATTAACCCTTGAAAATGATCAATTTTCTTCCACACAAACAATTTTTGTGTCCCTGTATCAGATTGTTTTTCCATGTAGGATAGTGCGGTGAGTCACAGTAAAAGAAATGCTTGACTGTGGTAGTTATGAATGATCACAAGTTATCGAGAGAAAAATAATGAATAAACCCGTTGAGATCATCATAACTGGCCATTTCATATGCCCATCCTCACTCGTCTGCTATTTTCCCCCGTTGTAAATGCCTCGGTAATCGGTGACTCTTGAACAACTCGTTCATGTCTAAATGCAATCAAATGCAGTTTAATGGGCAAACACATATTCCCTTCAAGAATAATTTAAAATATCAAATTTCCTGAAATACTGGGGAAAATTGGCATCCCCATTAATTTTTCCTTCAATCAAATTAAACTCCTTTTCCATGAAAATTTATCCTAATGTCTGACTTGAGAGTTATGAAACGCAAATCGAATGTTACCCCAGACTTTCGTAAAACATCAAACGCCCGGGAAAAATGGAAAGCTTCACTGTTGCAAGCGGAAACGATTCATTCAGGGTATGTGAAGCCTTGCAAAACGTCAAATGCTTTGGGGTCAGATAAAGATCTGAAAAGCGATGCCTTGGAGGGATAAATAAACGAGTCTGTACGTAACTATCGATACATGTCCCAATGCTAGCCAAAAAAAAGAAAGAAAAAACAAAACCAAAAATGGACAAAACGAGAGGGAAATTAATAAACCATTGAAACGTCAATATTGTATAGTATGTGGGTATGAAAAAAAAATATTGATCAAAGATATTGAAATGGTTGAGTACCGCCTCGTATGCATATCCCACGGGCATTACCTTCTATGCCTTCTATGCTTGGTCCAGCGTTCAACGTTCAACGTTCAACGTTCAGTGTTCAGCGTTCAGGGTTCAGGGTTCAGCGTTCAGGGTTCAACGTTCGGCGTTCGGCGTTCAGCGTTCAGCGTTCGGTGTTCAGCGTTCAGCGTTCAGCGTTCGGCACTCGGCGTCCGGCGTCCGGCGTCCGTCGCCTACACACATATTGGTTAATGTAAAGTTAACGTTGACGTCACCTATTCCAACCATAGATGGGCCTGGCACACGACCACGTGGGCGATCACCACTAAGCATAAACCTTATGAATTATATGTCTATTTTACTAAAACGACATTCTCTTCAACTGCGTATATGTTCTCTCCAAACCACAAATCCTTAAAAAAATAATTTATTTGGGTTCACGATTTTTTAACGTAGGTGTTACATTGATAATTCCATTCAGATCTTAATTTCTTCCTTTTTCTCATATACAATAAATACTCATTGTCAATAAGCATTTATTTTTCAATCTATACTAAGAGATTACTGCCAAATACAGTTGTTTAATAGGAGATTAAAGAGGTTTACTCAAAAACAAAGTCAAGTAGTTTTTAATGTGAAAAATAATAATTTCTATTTGTATCGTAGTATTATGTACGGATGCACAATGATACTGTACATTAGATTAGATATGCACTATTTAATTCACATATCAATCCCCAGTGAACCCAGAGAAATAACAATTCATGAATATATTTTGTGTAGATTATCTAGTAAATTGTCGTTGATCATTCTTTCTCTTGTCCACCTGTCGAAAGTGTTTGGTCATCTCGATCTGCCTACCACCACTGGTATCATTCATATTCTTGAAGTATCCATAGCCGCCTCCACCGAGACGTTTTCTAGGTCTCGATTCCTTTCTCACAGGCACTTCTGTTAAATCTCGTTAAGGAAAACAGCGCATAAATCATACATGAGGAGGAATAAGTCTGAAATAATAGCACAGGATAGACATACTGCCAATCCGAACCAATACCTATTAGTCGCGATTAATGGCTTTCTCATAATACTTAGCAATTATTAAAAAAAAAAAGGATACTCAGATCAACAGCAGGTGGTACTGCAAATCCAAATGATTTGCCAACTTGGACAAGATCCAGGGTTTCAATGTCGAAGATGTGTTTCAAGTGGTGGGAATCATAGGCACGGACATACGCTTTGAATGCCTCCTTTGCTGATAAGTTGAGGAAGTAATTCTTCGAGACCAATTTCTCCAGCTGCAAATGGGACAAAGAAAATTTTTTTTTCAATTTTCCGCAAAAAATCTGACCTCTTGTCTTTTCAATTTTGAGTAATTTTATCATTAAAAAATCTTGAAATTTTACAACTGCAGATTCTGAAGAATGATTTAAAGAAAAAAATATTCAGGATTCAATGATGTATTTCGAGACGGAAATCATTCGGAGTCCAGCTGCGTGCTAGAACACTTCGTCTAGGCGACAAGTAAGCACAGCTCGCTGTTGTATGAATCATTCGTTGAAAATCCCGGAGTTGCTTCCAATCTGTCTAATGTCGGATGAAAACTAATTTAACCACTTATAATTCGCCTGTAGTAGATTTTTTTCCGAGAATTGGTGTTTCCCATTAGCTCCTAATGGTCTTCTAAATTGACGAATTACAATATTTCAATAAATTACGTAGAATTATTTCACGTAGACCCCCACCCATCTCCCCAAGAAATGAAGCTGAAATAATTTCGTTAATTCTTCAAAAGCTTAATTGCACATAATTAATTGCCACATCAAACTGTATCTGAAAATTGTTACCAACAATTATCAACTCTTCAATTAGATCTCTCCGGTGTCACAATCCATATTCTTGCAATTTATTCAAAAGAGCATCTAAGATAGTATCGCACGTAGGTGGCGGAAACCTTGAGAATTACCTACTGTATGTGTACACTAACGTGAACAAAGCTCAGCAGTAGAGACATAAAACATGGAAAAGTAATGTTTTTCCATGTATGACACACTAGATCATTTAATTTAATGCCTTCATGACGCCCACTCAGTTCCGCCGCTAATAATCAATCGTTTCTACATGAAATAAAAAGCTAAGGTTGCCTCATTTGAATGCAAAAATTCCACCCCTAAAGAGATCAGTCACATGAGATTGAGAATAATAAATTCTTGGCATAACGACAAAACTGAAAATCGAAGTAGTGAATAATTACGAAAAACTTGGAATCCGTCTGAATGAGACGAATTTAATAGAATTTAAATTCTTGTTGAAATCGAAGGAAAATTCATTCAGTCTATCTTCCCGGTAGATATTAATCCATTGAAATGATTTATGCTTACCCTGAAAAACGGAATAATCCTCCTAAAACGAGGCCCCTATCCCACATAATCCCCGGAGCAACAAATTTGCGAAGAATATTTAGTCCACTGACTATATTTATGAATCCCACCAAAAAGCATCAATGCTTGACGCCAGGGATTCTCGACTGAGATTAACATTACGGGCCGTGAGGCAGACGAAGGATCGCGCAATTCATAAATTGGCCTTGCGCCGAGAAGAGGAGAGGCAGTCGGAAGAACAAGTCGACTATCCAGTGGAACCGGTAGCCACTCTTGAGGAGAATAAGAACACAGCAAAGTGAGAATGAAAAATAAGGGGAACAAGAAGTGGATATCATGGACGAGAGCAATATAAATCGATATCCTTATAGATTTACTATCTGAATCGGTTGCCCTCTGAGGGAGTGGTTATGGACACGTACACACTTGGCATCAACGGTCCACCAGCGTGGGCGCCATACCCATCTATTTTTTTTTATCATTCTTCTTCTCCTGTCTATTGCCTCGTTGACTGCGCAATTTACTCGAGGGGTTGACCTTCAGGCGAAATATCAAATTCAAGTCTTCCCATACAATTAAATATAATAATAATAGAGAATTTCACCAGATTCACCAACTTTTTTTTGGTTCAACAAATGGCCAGGTGATAAGTCGAAATTGCAAACTAATGTGACATTCTCCGATCAATGAGGTTTTTCTATTAAAGTTCATAATTTCCTGAAAATTTATATTTTTTTCCAACTTGATAACTGTAAATTCAATTTACTTTACTTTACTAGTTCTCGCCTAAGTGAGTCTCCATTGTTCCAAGCTCCTAATTAGTTATGGCTAGAGATTGTTATGTGGGGTGGCCTCAGAGCGAGGGGAATGCTAATACTCGACTAATGACGCGGGAAAAACCCTCAGCTAGATCACAGGAAAAACACTTTATTAATCAGCTCCATCAACTCTTTCCCCAGCAGTCCCCAGGTACTCATCGATACAAACTGTCAAGAAAAATCGGAATAATCACGCAATTGCAATGAGATAGTTTGTTAATACGGGAATTGTGCAATTTTCTGTGGCGGTGGAATGAAAAACATCCAATGAGATCACCGATTGGAGTCAGACAGCTTGCTAACGTGTATCGCTCATAAATAAAGCAATGTCTGTTTCTTGATTTGGCATTATCAAACGTGCAATCAACACTGGCAAACCATTATTGCCTAGTTGTGGGTGCTGCTGCACATTTTTTTTTTTTTTTTGACAGGTGATAACGGGCTTTAGTACACCGTACACGAAAAAGCGTAATAAATAGACGATGAAAATGACTCTCATCTCTGAATCGCCCCAGTCTTTGAGAGAACTCAAGCCTTTTTAGGTTCGTCCCGACCCACGTGCCTAGAGCCAGTGCATTTATCCAATGAAAGAATCGATTCACCAATTTACTCCAACCCGCTATCTTCACCCCCTCGCTGCAATTTACTAGTATAAAGCGAGGGCGTTGGCTCGTATCAATTAGGCACCAGCGGCTAATAAGGTCAACTAACTTTCCGCTGGCAATGAATCTCCTCCCCCCCCCCCCTCATTTATGGTTATTGGAAGTAATTCAGAATGACGACAATTTTTTCATTCCTACCTGCAGCTGGATATCAGCTATTTTGTTCCAGGAGAATTCGAATTCATTCACAGGAACTCGGGCTTGTTTCAGATAACGTAAAAAGCCCAGTTCCTCAGGTCGGAGGATCAGTAGGGCGTGTCCACTGCTTCCCTCACCACGAGCTGTTCTACCAACTCTGTGAATGTATTCCTTTGGATCATCTGGAGGATCCAATTGGACGATCCAGTCAACATCGGGGATATCGAGACCTCGAGCAGCCACATCAGTACACAGTAAAATCCCTGAGGTGGCATTACAAAATTGGAAGAAGGTGGTCGTTCGTTTCGTCTGCTTTTGCTTTCCATGAATGCTCATCACTGGTAGATCGATGTAATTCAACAATTCATGATGATATTTAACGGACATACAAGACGAGAAAAAAACCATTACTTTTTTATTTCTGTTCTTCTTGAGGAATGTGAAGAGCAAGAGGAACCTCTTTTCACTTGGACAGACGACGTAGCCCTGCTCTAGACCCTCCACTGTGGCCTTCTCCTTCTCATCATCAACCCCAACGTAGATAGGCTCCTTCTTGACAGCTAGAGTTGTCAAAGTCTCAACCTTTTTTGTTTGTGTGGCACTGAACAGCATCGTTTGTCTTCTTTTGGGGAGGATATTGATGATCTGCTTCAACTCCTCCTCGAAGCCAACGTCCAGAATACGATCGGCCTCGTCGATTATCAGGCAGTTAAGGTTCTTGAAGAGAAAGTCTGCAGTATTTTGGAGATGATCCAGCAGTCTGCCAGGAGTTGCTACGACGATATTCACTCCTTTTGCCAGCTTTTGGGCCTCTGTCTGCCTGTTGGCACCTCCCATCAGGAGCCCATACGTATGGTGGTGGTACTTCATCAATTCTTTTAGGACTCCAAATGTCTGCATCGACAGCTCTCGAGTTGGAGAGATAATGATACAGCCAGTGCCATTTCTTGGCATGAGCTTGAGTTTATTAATGAGTTCAATGGCTGGGATAAGGAAAGCCAGGGTTTTTCCAGAACCAGTTCTTGCAGCTCCCACCAAGTCTCTTCCCTCGAGGAGAGGGGGAATGGCTCTCGCTTGGATTTCTGTCATGTTTGTAAAGCCCATGTCCTCGATACCTTTCAATGTTTGCTCACAAACGTTGCCTTTGAGGGAGGAGAAGCCCGTGTTCTTTGAAACATCCAGACCAATTGTTGAACCCGGCAGTGCAGCTTCCATTCCTCCTCTATTCTCTTCAGACTCTGATTTATTTCCATTGGCAACTTCTCTCTCTTGGGAAGATTCTTGCACTTCTTCTGGAGAATGCTCTACCTTTTTCTTCTTTTTCTTTATTGGAGTGTCCTCTGCACACGGTCTCTTCACATTAATTTTCTTCTTCTTGCTTCCAGGTCTTCCGAACTCCGCACTATCACCAACAGCATCTATAGTAAAAGTTAGTACCACATGAATTTTCATAATTTTAATAATCATTGTTTAGTTTCAAACACGTTTATAACCTATACAAAGAGTAATTGACATTCTCACCATTTTTCTTGAGGGTCTCTCGTTCCTGGATTACTTTCAACTTGTACTCCTCTCTCTTCTTAATCTTTCGCATTAAAACTTTATCGGGGAGTGACATTTTCACGTTATTTATCAATTACAAAAATATCAATTCTCCATGTGGAGAGGGCATGGGCTCAAGAGTAAAGCTATGTCGATAACTAGGGGAATGACTGAAAAGCCATGCAGGGGGACATATGAAAATGTGAGTGGTGGCGCGTTAGTTTTATTCGGGATATTTTGAGATCGATTCTCCTTTCTCCTTTTTATATATTATATTATATTATATTATATGACGACGACGACAGTGTTCAGGGATGAAATCGATGTAAAATGGGGGATGTTTTAATGTCAAAACCGGTGGTTGATGATAGAATAAATATGTAAAACGAGGGAAACAACAATATGGGAATTAGTTACATGGGAATTAGTTACATGTTACGAGGAGCTAGCAGCACAGTCGCTATTTTTTTATGATTAATTTTGGTTATTACGGCTTTTAACCTAAAATCGTAGAGCTCGTTCGAAATATTTGATTAAACATTAAATTGAATACTTTTTTTGTCATTGCTTAAGATGCATCAATCCGGGTAATTGAGGAGCTGTTAACATTCTTATTGGATTTGGTATTGATAATAAAAGATTATAAAAATGGCAGTGATGGACTTTTTTGGCTGTGCACTCTTGGCGTTTGGGCCACCCTTGGCAATGTTCACATTTACAGTGTCAGTGGAGCCAATTCGAATAATTATTTTGATAGCCAGTGCATTTTTTTGGTTGATATCGCTGCTGCTATCATCCATTTTGTGGTATGCTGTGGTCCCCCTGCATAAACATCTTGCCTTCGGTCTGGTATTCTCTGTGCTCTTTCAGGAAGGATTTAGGTCAGTAATCGAGGATAGTACCCAGAATTTGGGTTTTCGGTAGTTTTAGGTCAAAAGTTAACTACATCTTGATATTTTTTTTTGTCAGGTTTCTTTTGTACTGCGTTCTCAGGAAAGCAGAAAAGGGTTTGGAGAAGGTGACGACAGCTCACGTGGCAAACAGTAGACACATATTTGCATACGTCTGTGGTTTGGGTTATGGATTCATGAGTGGAGCATTTGCCCTAGTAAATGTCCTAGCTGACTCCGTTGGTCCAGGAACGATGGGTCTCCGTCAAGGCCACGAGTACTTCTTCATGTTATCAGCCGCCACTACCCTGTGCTTCATTCTCCTCCATACCTTCTGGGGCATTGTATTCTTCTCAGCATTGGATAGAAAAAATTGGGGACAACTCGTTTGGGTCATTTGCTCACACTTATTCGTATCATGTATAACGTTGTTGAATAAATTGGATATATCTGGTGCTAGCCTGCTGGTAGCATACACTGTACTCACCATCACTGCAATTCTAGCATTCAGAGTTGCAGGCGGTAGCGTTAAGAACATTCCCATGTGTTTTTCAAGACGCTGAATAGTCCTAACAGTTTGGAGAATTCAGGATAAAGTGGACACAACATTCACTATTTGTGATTGGATAGTTAACAAAGAGAGGTAAAAAGTGTCTCTTAATATTATCAGAATATTGCCCATTTATTGGTATGTCTCACGATTTATGGACAATCTAATGCTCAGAAGAGAGCATTTCTTATATATTTTACTGAACAGTATGTGTGATTAGAGGAGCCTGGAGTTGGATGTGCAGTCATTAAAAAATGTTCTATTCACAATTTTTTTACGTATTTCTATGTTTAAGGCACGTTTAAAGCATGTAACATCTATCTAACGTAATATTTCATTTCAATTTTATCTTGATAGTGTAAAATATTTAGCAAATGAGCAAATAGGAACCACAGGGAATGTTGAAACAAAAATTTAAAAAATGCCTTCTTTTGATTGTAATTGGAATTCCATCGTGAACTAAAACGGCGAATCAGATTTCATATCCATTTTACTTCGAATGTAAATGAATGAATAAAAATAAAAATGAATTTTAATTATTTATTTATATTATGCCAGGAGACAGATTTTGTGGAATAGCAGCTTGGCATATGTCAAGGATTTCATAATAAAATCATTTTTTTTCTTTAATCCTGTTTTTTTTTTCCTTTATGTACATCTGATTCAAGATTAAAGGGCAATTACTAGTATCAATGAAGTGTCTTTATAATTTGATCAAGGTAATAATTAATAAATAGCGAATTAAGTTATGAACTGGTGAGCGAGGCCATGAGCAGTTCCATTTTATTGAGAAAATTTTTTCCTTCCATCTTATCCCATCGAACTTCTTTGAAGGATCCGCCTAGATTCTCCCATTTCCTCTCTCGCACCAATTGTCCCGGAAAAAAGTCTTTACGTGGTGCGTGAGCAATTGCGACTTGAACACCTGTTTGAGGTTCACAACGTACAGCAATCATTCTAAAAAAATATATAATGGGAATTCAATTTAAAAATATTGTCCTATCAAGAGATACCCAGCGTTGAAGAGTATTAGAAAATTTTCTTGAAAATGGAAATTTTTTTTGTAATATAAAAGGGGCCGATGTACCTATCACCAATGGGAGAGGCTAGAATACAGCTGCTAGCATTTCCAAGTGGTTCAACAGCTCCCAATCCCAAATGCGAGCTATTGGCAAGAAACTGCCAGCCCATGCACTTGGCCAGGTTCTGAACTGCAGTGATCTGATGTTGATGGATCTGACAGACTATTAAATCCCTCAATTCCTGGGGCTCATAGCTCATATGCATCACTCTGCCATCCCTGCAGACACACTTGAGTGACTTTTCCCCAACATGAACAACCAGAGAGGTACGGCAGATCGTATCATACCCATTCGTCCAAATATTGATCTTCACACAGGATTGAGTTGGTGAATTAAGCGCATTCCAGTGGGAGACGATCAACGGATCCTTGACCTCCTTTGCAATGGTATCCAACACATACTCAGTCCGAATCCTCATGAAGAAGTGTTGAGCCTGTTGGATGATCTGTTCTAGTAAAGTTTGACTCTTGGTCATTTCAATCAACTCGTATCTATCAGCGGCTGTTGGTCCAGCAAGACATCTTCGTTTGCTGGGGCCCAAAGGACCAGAAGAAGGATGCGGGAAAGGGTGATGGGTATTTTTATGATGAACCTCCCTAAGCAACTGATGCAACGAGTGCTCCAGCACATGATCATGATCAGATTTGTGAGGTGGAGGGTTAGTTCTCTTGTCATTGCCAGTGCTGTGACAGAGTCCAATGATCAATTGAATTCCAGGGAGAACAGTCGCCATAATCTGGTTTCCGACCACCATGTGGGGAATGGGAGCCCTCAGGTGGACAGCCTCTCTCGCCAATTGGCTGAACAATTCTTTGCAGAATAAAACATTTTGTGCAGCTTCGAGCTTCTGCTGCCAGTGCATGTCAGTGTTGGACGAAGCTGTACTCGAGTTGAGAAGATTGATATTGGCGCTGCAGAGGTCTTCCTGATCCTTCTGACACAGGACCTCAATATAGGCAACACCCTGCAGTTCACTGGGAATGGTAACACGAAGGGCTGATGCCTTAGGACTGGGGACTTGTGATTGAGACACTGGGGCATTCGGATTCGGAGAGGCTGGAGGACTCGTTTGCGGCTTGTCTTCTTCCTCTGCCTTCGTAACCTCGAACATCCCTGTCTGTGTATATTTGGAGCCCGCGGTACGGTAACTCAAGTCTCCAATTATTGAGTTAGAGACCTTCTTAAGACGCCAGTTCTGCCGGAGTCGTAATAATTCAATATGGAAGTCTGGGGTTATTCGGTTGCGAGTTAGTTCATTCTGAGAATTTCGGAGTCTCTCTGCGCCCATCATCAAGACAGACGCTGCACCAGCTAAGGCTTTTTTTCGAGCGTATACTTGAACCATTGGCTTGACTTCCGGTGGCTCCTGGGGTACCGGATCGAGAACCATGTAGCGCTTTTCTTTTGCAATTGCTAAAACGTCTGCCAGGACGCATACCTCGGTGAGAGCATTTCGCAGTTTGGAACGCACATTGTCCCATGGCCATAGAGATGCCTGGAAGGAGGTGGAGTCTCGCGAATCTTCTTCGCTTTTATCACCATTCTCTGGGATGGTTTCTTTTCGGCTTTCCTCACCGTTACTCTTGCTGAAGTCGATTTTTTGGGCAATCTTTGCGAGATTCTCCGAAAGAGTCAGAGGTGCTTGATAAATTTCCTGGCCATCGTAAGCAATCTCCTGAATTTGATTTTCGATCGGTGCCTCCACCGATATATTAACCGAGTACGACATCACAATTTATTCATTGGCTCACTTCTCCGGTCACAATCAGCCACTATTGTTTACAACAATAAACACACCGTAGATTTACAAGCACAACAATTGTCTCCTGTCTGAAGTTATCGTCAATAAACAAATGAAGGCCAGACTATCCTCTCTCTTTCAGGACAAAAAGCATGGACTAGAAAGTGTCGTCGGCGGTGAGCCCAAAGAGGATTGACTAAAGTAGAGGCTGAGATCTGGGGTTTGAGTAACCCCAGGGGCATCGTAGTACTGCATCCCAAGAGAGAGAGGGCACCACACGCATTGAGGGTGTCTGCCGTCAGTCCAGATCCGAGCCTATACTTTAGTCAATCTTCTTTGGCTGAGCCAAAAGATGCGTTCTCATGTCAATGTTCATGACAGCGGGGTACGTGTATTTGAGTGGATTCTAGCCTATTTGAGATATCGCAGAGAACTTACACGAGGAGATACTTAATGAGTAATTATCGAAACATCAAGTATCATTATCATAAAATATTTGCAAGTGCATTTGAAAACGGAGATTTCACCAACATCCCGGGCGGCGCTAGTGTAGGAAAATTTCTCTGGTCGGATCGGCCAATTTCAAATAAAAAAATACTAACATTTCCCCGTAAAATGGCGTTCAGCTTGGCCGCTTTTGCCTATATTTGTGCATTAATTCTAGACGCATTTTTAATATTTTTCGCCATTTATCACGTACGTATAGTATGTCCCATTAATTCACACAAGTAAACAATGAAAACATAATGAATAACTACATCGTAATTTGCCGAGACGATGACTTAACCTAAACATTTTAAATTCAAATAATTTTCCGTACAGATAATGAATAACCAAAATTAATATTCCACCGTGTTATATAAATCACTATTTTTCCAGGTCATTGCATTTGATGAGCTTAAGACGGAGTATAAAAATCCGATTGAACAGTGTAATAGTCTCAACGGAGTACGTATTATTGAAATTTGTTCAACTAGACTAGAAAATGAGCATTGACAGCATTTAAAATGTAAAGTGATTGTTGATTAAATTGATTTTCAGCTTGTGCTTCCGGAGTACGTTCTACACATCTTAATCAATATATTATTTTTAATCAGTGGGGAGTGGTTTTCGATACTTCTCAATGCTCCCCTCGTAGCGTACCATATAAACAGATATTGGACAAGACCGGTAATGACTGGCCCTGGGCTTTACGATGCCACAAGCATATTGAACGCCAACAATTTGTCGAGATGTCAACAAGAGGGTTGGGTCAAACTTGCCTTCTACCTTTTATCTTTCTTCTATTATCTGTATGGAATGATTAGTTCGCTTATCCATTAATGACATTTCTTCCCCACTGTACTGCCAGTGGTTGAGTGACACAAGATTCAAAATATAAACTGTAATTACATGATTTATCTTCCAAGTTCATAATTTTTTAATTTTATTTTAACTCACACATTCATATGCTTTTTATAAAATGTCATAAATTTTCATCTTTCTTTAATTTTTTAAATAGTGAAAATTATAGGAAATTTAAGGATAAAGGAAGATTATGTTATCGTTAATATTAAGTCAATACTTTCCAAAAATAAATAAGCAAATAATAAATTTATATTATAACGAAAATCATATGTTTACTTTATAATATTTATCCGTTAATAATTAATAATAATTATCTCTAGTCTTGAATTAATTTCATGTCATCATAATAATGTAAAGATCATAAGACTGAGGCTCATTCTTAATGATTGGAGGACGACAAAGCTTGTTCTGGGATGGGTGCAACTGAACACAGTCAACTGACCACACGGCAATTGGGGGATGGGTGCAACTGAACACAGTCAACTGACCACACGGCAATTGGCCACAAATTTTTAAATATCGTCAACTGGCCACAACAGTAAATTGTAGATGGTGAGGCGTTACTGTTATTTGATCTCAGTATTCTTTGTCGCCAAAATTATTTGCTGTTAAAGACCAAGAGATGGCAGTAGTATATGTAAAAATTAAAAACGGCCCAGTACGTCATCACAAAAAAATCGCTATTACATCGAACAAAAATGCCTCCTTTGTTGAAGCCATTTATCAGTGCAAAACATCGCCAAAAAGGGCGTGATTTTTAATTTTTTGACTTTTTGACCAAATGGCACTTGGAAAATTTCCAAAAAAAATTCACCATTCACGCAATAATGAAAATTCCAGGAAAAAGTGAATGGATCTGAGTTACGGA